TTTCAATTATTACGTTATACAACTAGAGAAAACACATGTTGTTATATAAAATACAATTAGTTCAGTTCAGAATGATTTGTGATTGTAATGACAAACAAATCTTTAAGCAAAGTCACTTCTCCAGTCTATAAAGCAATAGTGATACAAAACATTGACTGTTCTAAGTAATTGTGTGAAGTAATTGATTTCAATTATGAGTCAAATAATTGTGAATATAATAATTGCCTCACCTGTGTATGATTAAGATATGAGTTATTAGTGGTCGATTTTTTTAATTTCAATTGATTCTCTGAGAAAAAAGATTGACTGTGGACCACTCTGTTACAGAGATCTTTGACAATTAAAATTAATCTCTTTTTAATTAATTGCACAGCCCTGTAGACTAATGCATTATTATTATTATAAAACTGGTAAACAGAAACCATATCTTAAATTGGGACTAAATACCTAAACTCCGCCCACAACCACATTGCAAACATAGCTGCTACACTGGAAATTATGTGGAGTACTAAAGAAAAAAGTGAGGGGAGAGGAGGGGCGGGGTCTGGAGGTATAAAAAGGTATCCACACTTTAAAACCCTACAGCCAGGGGTTTGTAATCATAAATACTTAATCATGGCAGTTTTGTGAGATGTCACATAGTACTTGAAATTGCAATAGAGGAAGCGCGCATTCAGTTTTGACTGTTTTTGATCACCTAGTATGTGCTAAAATTGCCAAAAAAGGACTAGGAACAGATGACAATACAATAAAAATATAGTAATACATATACAAGTAGCAAAAAAGTGGATTTAGTATTAAGTTCCACTCAAATCTACACATAAAATAGTCAGCTAGTTGAAAAGTGTTATGGCAGTATATTCCAAGTATTGACAGTTTAATGGGCAGTGTGGGGTTTCAGCTCAATAATGAAACACAACACCACAAAGGATTAACTTCATCCACCAGACAACCACATCTTTATATTTATGGGACACAGCGAAAATGTTCCTGTATGGTGCTTTAATAGAGCCTTTCAAACAACAGTTGGGGCTATATAGGACATTATGTAATCAAAAATAATGTTATTCTGTTCTATACTATTCTATACTTTTAAGAGTGTATGGCTCATTGAGGAGTGAGACATTTAAATTATCCCAAAAAACGAGAGCTGCTATTATTCTTTCTTTCATTATTTTATGTTCCAATAATTTAGATTTACTGAACATAATATTTAAGTTGAAAAGGGTATATAAAGGAATAACATATTTCTCAACATCCATTTTTGAAAGTACATTTATATGCTGAACTCAAGTCATTTTCATTCTTTTTATGTATTGAAAAACTCAAAATTTCCTACATCAAAACATGTTTACAGACTCTGCAGACTCCCTCTCCCCCTCTCTCCTCCCTCAGATCTCTCTTTCTCTCCTCCCTCCCTCTCTCTCCTTCTCTGGCTCTTCTTTATAGCCCTCTAAGTCTATTTGTATTGACTGTATCTGCCTCTCCATTAAGTAGCTTTCTATTAGAGGTCATATAATCAAATGGTTAGGAGTGAAACAGACCAGAGTCACAGCGAGCACAGCAGCCAGTCCTCCTGACAGGAAATTTTATTGAGTTTTACTATAAAATTAATTAGACACACTTATTCAGCTGTAATTATACTCTTCTCCAGTGAGGGTCAAAAATGGATTTCCTGGAGATTTTCTGCAAGAATTTCTAGTTTATCTGAAGGAATTTTAACACAGTTTCTTTTGAATGTGCCTTGCTATCAATATGCAATTTCTCCATAATAATAAATAACAGATTTTATTTATATTGCATTTTACATTTTGAAAACAAATCTAGTTTGTTCTATAAAATCACACACAGCAGCATAGCAACGATATTGGCAGTAGATAATACATGAGATTGATTAGTTGTCTTTCTGTGCCATAAAGACGCACTATGTAACTTTTCTAGAGTAGTGCCCACCAATTGCTAGTCTCCGTGGAGATGTATTGCTTTCCCTGGCATGTTTCACAGTATGATATTAAACTTAAACCATCGTCATGGAGACAAGCAAGCAATGAAAAGATGACCCTGCTCAGAGAATGCATTGCTTTGCTTATAAAAACACAAACAGATCTAGTCAAACTACTGACATCTCCATGGAGACAAGCAGACCCTCCACCAGAAAAGTTACACAATGAACCCTTCTCTTGTTACATCATAAAACTGACATGAAATAAATGAATTCTTCTCAACACAAACTCTTTTCAATATCTTAATTTAAGATTTTGAGTTGTAAACCTGCTATTAATAATACATATTTTTCTACTACTACAGTTCAGATTTTTCCATATTGTCATACACTTGATTTATATAGTATTTTCTGCTATTGTGTCCAAGTCATTTCCCTTGTGGATCAATACAGTTTGTCTAAGTCTATGACAGGGTTCGGGATCAGTCTATTTCCTGGTCATCATTGCGCCCCATATACAGCCACAGTATCAGGTAATGTGAAATGACCCCTTTTACAGTCCCATCATGCCTCAGTGTAAACGCATGGCTTATCTTCTCACTCCAAATGCCATGCCATTGTATCAGGCGTATTAAGCAATTAACACTACAAGCATAATGAGAGAACATTTAGTAGGTTTGAGTCATTACAAATTCATCAACAATAGAACTTCATGTTTGCGTTTAAGGATTACTCAACACTGGGAGTTTTTGATTTCAGTGATATTTTGTAATTTATTTTTTCTTTTTTTGTAATTCATTTGTTTACTTAGTCATCTTTGAATAATGGTTGTTTATTCCCTAACAATGGTGATTTTTGGATTTTTGTTTGACTCTATAGTGAAAGCTCAATTGAGAATCTTGAGAGACATAACATTCAAATGGTAACTTAGCATTAAGGATATAACTTAGCAATAAGGATATACTCAAATGTCATCAGATTGACAAACTGAAATCAAACTGAAATCCTAATCTACACCAATTCACTATATAGCAGCAGTTTTGAAAATTTTATGTTACATTTCACTTTTGTTTTTGACACTGAGTCTCCTCTGTACATCCTGTCAATGAAACTACTGCATGACAAGTTGTTGTGTACAGTTTTATATCATAGTTTTGTTTGTATTTATGCAGAACTGTCATGTGGGAGCAGCTTAGCTCTTCAGCTCTAAAATCAGTCTTAGAGCTGTCCATAAGGAGGGTTTCAAACAGGATCTGGGAGAGATCACTAAATTACTGAAACCTGCGTGGATGACAATGTTATAACATGGTAAAATAATGTCATTTTTTAGATCAGATTAATTTGTTGTATGTATTTTGTAGACAAGCAATATTACATGCTTTTTGTACAGGATTATTCTGAGTCAATTTTTTTTTTTTCCGTATTCAAGCAGGGCAGGCATGTTTCTTTTTAGCACAATAGGCTACATGTAGGGCATTAAACATGGCCAACACATGGTAGATTTCTATTATTAATGGCTATTGGTTGAATAATTTTCTGTCCTATATTTTGTGTTGAGGCAGGCTTTTTGCTTGGAGCTCCAGGTGCAACAACTCATGCATAAGAAATGGAAAAAACAACATCCTATCTGGACATATGTTGACTACCTCTCCCCCGACCAATGATTTAATACTAATTCAAGTGAACTATGTGCTAACAATGTAGGTTGCTAAATATTTTACATGCAAGAGGGTGTGTTATGGTTGTTTATGCACATACAAGACCCAAGCCAAAAAAAGGGTGGACATCGTAATGAAAAATCCAGCTTGAATCATGTCTAGCACTTCCAGCGTCGTGATTGGCTAACGCAGATTTCTTCTTTAAAAAACAAGCCAATCCACCAATCACAAACTGGCATCCGATACACAGCCTGTTTCCATAGTTACAGCAATAAAAAGATGTAATTTTGATGGTGCATTTTGTAATATATCGTGTTGGATCAAATGCGGTGTGATCAATAGATTTATTTCATACGGATAACGATTTGGGCGAAAGGGAAGGTGCGGAGAAGAAAATGGACACGCCCATTCCTATACCGACAATAACAACAAGTATACGGCCTTGGCTTCGAAAATTCCAAAATTATTCTAATTTGTAATTCAAAATGTATGCAAAATATATGCAAATTCAAGTGTGTATTCGTTTACAAATGTCAGGACATTAATTGTTTGGATAGCACTGAAAATTTGCAAGGAACTAGGGAGGTTTCACCATGGTGGTAAGGAGTAAGACAGAAAAACTACAAATGACAGATTCTAAATTTAGACGGCAAATTGTATTAAAAATGTTATATTGTGCAGTTGCTTGGATGAAGAAAGACTGAGATAAGATGAACTGATTACTGCTTAGAAAAAAAGAGGAGAGGGGAGAGAGAGAAGGAGGAGAGCAAAAACCGTTCAGACAAGCATGAAGGATCAACAATAGTCCGGTAACAAAGGAAAACCAGAGCGCTGCAACCATCACCCCGTTTTTCCACTCTCCCTCCCGCTAAGATCCCGTCTTTATTCATGGCCTTCACCCGAACGCTTTCTGGAGTGTTTATTCTCTCTATTCTTTGTGTTTTTTTTTTTTCCTCTTTCTCCCATTCACCACCGCCACCTCCTCCCCCTCCACCCCCCCTGCCACTCCCACCCTCTCTCCCCATACTCCCAGCTGTCTGTCCATATGTCCACAGCTCCAAAACAAGAAGACCCATATAATAACCAACCAACAACCCCGACTGTGCGATCCCTTCTTCATTCTCTTTGCACATAGAAAATAGGGCTGGGCTTTCATGTTATTCAATGGCGTTATCCAAATCTTAATCTTATACGTAAACATTGATGTAATCTGTTACCAAAAAATGCAAAAATTAAAATGGCAAAAATCTAAGCCTAATGTAATGTTTTAAGCATGCTGTCTACCACACAAAAGAAAGCATCCTCATTACACGGTTAAGAGATGGCTGCAAGAACAATGGCAAAATGGTTGATCCCATACAAACGAATAGGGCTGTTTTTTGGTTCATTTTTTGCCTTACCTTTCTGGCTTTGAGAGTCATCCATGTTCTCCTCCATTGTTGGGGCGGGTTAGAGGTTAGATTTCCCTTTTGTCTCGAGGTTGAGGGTGCGATTCCTTCCTTGCTAGTGCTCGGCTCGCTCTGGTGATGTGGGAGGCGGCGGAATATTGAGTGGGCTTTTTTTTTTTTTTCCTGCAGATGATGGAGGCTTAGGGAAGTCCCTGCCTCTCTCTCCTCTCATCCACAGACCTGCAAACGCCACACAGCAAACATTTTATTCAATATATAAGCAATAATAGTGTATATATATGTGTGTGTGTATTCTGTATGTGTTTATGCATATGAAGCTTTTGTTGCTTTTATATTTTTGTGAAAGAGATTCAGATGCAAATGTCACCTGCTATTTTACATATATTTAAACTGTGATTAGATTTATTCATTTTGTAATATTATTATGATTAAACATAATGATGTAACTCATATGAGACAACTGACTAGTTTAAGATGTTTGGTCGTTATTTTAATCATAAGAATAATAATGCCTTTTAATGCACTTTATAGGCTTGTCGAAGCCCCTCAAAGCTCTACACTGTGCTCATTACTCAAAGAGTGAGAGAACAGAGTGATGAAAGAGAGTCGGCCAGTCTGTGTCCAACCACCACCAATCATTAACGCATACACCACCTTCATACTAGGCAATGTGGGTTACGTGTCTTGCCTAAGGACACAACAGAATTTGGTCCAAGCTCAGTGGTAAAAACAATGGTCTCGTGACCATTTGGGGACCACCCTTACCACTGAGCCACTGTTTAAAGTATGTTTTTAATGTATTCATATGATGGAGACCTCTCTGCTCTCATCCACTGACCTGTGACCATCATGTATAAAACATGTTATTTAATATACAAGCAATCAGTGAGTTTATATACTATATGCATTTTGTAGATCTGTAAGATGACTCAGAACAGAATATAAATTGCAGTTTAAATGGACACAATTAGCAAATTGCAAAGACTGCAACTTTTCTAATACCATAATTTCTTCCATAAACAGCAAAATATGTTGTCTGCTAACTTTGTAGTTTAGATCAGTACCAACATGTTCTGAAATATGTTTCTTGTGTTAGTTTTTCTGGATGTGTTTAAATTGTGAACTTTGAACATAATGCTATAATTAAAACAATAATAGCTAAAGTAATTGCAACGCTTGTCTGAAAAATCAATTTTGTGCAGCCCTAATATTTAGCACATTTCAGTGTTCATGCATTTTGTGTGCTAATTGTAGGCTAATCTTTTTTTTTTTTATTATATATTTTATAATATTAAATTATCATAATTGTTTTAATTTGTGTATTTATTTTTTTATTTACGTATTTGGCTATTGTTCTATGCATTCGGTTATCGTTGTAATGCAACCTTTTACAAACATACACATGCTTCCACGCAGATGATGTAGATCTGCGAAGTCCCTCTCTCGCTCGCTCTCTTTCATCCGAAGACCTGCAAGAATCATATAAAAACATGTTATTCTAAGGTTAATGTTAAGTTTAAGTTAACTGCAGGTTCTGTACAAGTGTTGTGTATTAGTATTAGAGCTTCAATTCAAATTTTACTTGAATTGAGATCTGGTCATTTCAAAAGGTCAATGTGAAGCTTGGATGTTTTTAATGGAGCGGTCCAGAGCCAATCCTCAACAAAAGCAAGTGGCAGTGGATAGTCCTGTCACAATAATTATTATATATTGACTTACTGTTCAATACATGAAAGCTGGGACAAAATTATTTTAGTCTCAAAATGTATAGTGTGTACAATTTCTTTGTAAAAGTAGAGAGATTTGTGGTATTTTTGTTGTAAAACAATCAAATGTTGTCAGCAAAAGGTTAAATAAGTGACTAATAAGTGCTATTTGCTATTCTGTTATGTATTTGTTGTAGCTCAAACTTTTTAATGATACAGTCTATTAAAAATGGCTTACAATGATTAGCAATGCTTATTGTTGTTCTTTCAGAGGCATAGTAGAAGTAGTTTCAATATCTCATATATATCAGCATATCTCTGTATATTAAAAAAAAAAAAGTGTGGCCAATCTTTCTCACTCTCACCCAACTCAGGCCCTCTACCAGAGGCCTGGGAGCTTGAGAGTTCTGAACTGTATCTTTGATGTTCATAGTATTGCACTTTTCTGGACTGAGATGTCTGTTGTTTTTCCTGGGATCTGGTATAGCCACTCCTTCAGTTTGGTGGCTACAGTCCCGAGTGCTCCGATCACAATGGGCACCACAGATGCTTTCACCTTCCACCTTGGCAGATCCCATGTAGAGGGTTGTCCTGCCATATATAAATATACATATAAATATAAATTGGAGGTGGACAAGCAACAGAACAAAGCTGTGGTGGTGGACATCGCAATACCAAGCGATGACAATATAAGAAAAAAAGAACACGAGAAACAAGAGAAATACCAGGGGCTCAATAAGAAGTTGGAGAAAGCCTGGATGGTGAAAGCATCAGTGGTGCCTGTGGTGACTGGAGCACTTGGGGGTATAACCCCCAAATTGGAGAAGTGGCTACAGCAGATACTAGAAAAAACATTGGACACCTCAGTCCAGAAAAGTGCAGTACTAAGAACAGCAAAGATACTGCACAGAACTCTCCAGCTCCCTGACCCAGACATAAACATACATACTTTGGAATTAGTTATTGTGACAGGCCTAGCAGCAGAGTTCAGACTTTGGAGAAGGTGCTAAATGGTTAAATAGTGGTCTGTTTATGCACAATAAAAAACAAATCTTGACATTTTTATTTCTTTATAATTTCAAAGAATTCAAATAGGTTTGAAAGTCGTGGTTAATCAATAGTAGTGAAAAATCATGTATCTTTTGCCCTATGCCATACACAGTCTCTATATTTCTAAAAATAGCCTTAACTGAAAGATAAATTGATTTAAAGTGCTGTGCTCACTGGCTCCAGACCTCTACTCTGACCTCTGACCTCACACTTAAACTCAGTTACAGGCGATTTCTTTGGCGCTACATCAGTGTCAGAGAGGAGACAGTGGAGCTTGGATAAGTCATATTATGGAACATTTTCCTTCAATTAGACTCTGGATTAAACCTTATATAAGCAATACATCGCAGGGTAAGGCCGCATTCACACTTGAAGAGGTTTGGTCCTGGTTTGAGACCAGATTAGTCCTCATGTAAACTTGGTTTGGTCCTGTTCTAGTTAAGTCCCAGTTTTGATGTAGTGTGAATGCACCATCTTGCCCCAGTACAGATATATTTTATAAGCAGCCCTTGAGGTAATATGTCTGCTGCTTACTGTAGATTTTCCCAAATAGGCCAAGTTTTCTTCTACATTTGACCAATTCTTCATGCTGCTGGATCAACCTGTAAAGGGAATTAACAGACCTATTTATTTATCCTGGTTTGAACCTTGTCTTGTTCAGGTTTAGTTCTACTGTAGGCTCTTTTTTGGTCCTACACAATCCTGGTATAGTCCTGCCTAAAACACATGGTGACATAAACGAATTGTACTTGTTATAGCAATTAACAATTTATAACAAAATATTTTATATTTTGAATGGTTAAAATCCTCAAAACGTATCCAGACCTAGGAACTCATGGTAGGCTGCCTACGCAACATCTTTATAGCCTACATAAAATTTGAGCTTTTTATTATTAAAAGCGAAACTCTTTACAACACATCAAACATAAAATATCTAAAATGGGTCTTTCATTTGTTAGGTCTATGCTGTGTTTGATTTAAAGAGAATGAAATCTTGACATGAATAAAAAATAAAGCAAACTTACCTTGATCAGTATGTTCACGTGGACTGCTAGCTTGACTGCAAGACAATCATGTAAAAAAAACAGTTGCGAATCTAGAGATCACGTTTATTTTAGTATACATGTAATAGGCAAATTGTCATTATTATATGGAAATTATTAAACAACTGTGAATTATTTAAAGTCCTAATTTTAAACAGCCAACAAAATATTTGTGCCAACAAAACAATAAAACAGTGGTGCTCTAGTGCCCTCTGGTGGACACCAATATTTTTAATTTATAAACTGACTCAGGGCGGGGTCCGCGTCCAGACTTAAGATCATCAAACACAAGCTTACACGTTCATGCTCTGGTCGATTTAGCAGATTGTCAGATGATTGCCAATAATTTATCCTATATCTACTGTACAAGCTCATCATACATTTTACATAGGAATTAATGTAATGTGGAATGTGCGTTTCTTGTTAACAAAATAAATGCAACCAGTAGGGGGCAGCTTTTCACTAAAGCATACCAAATATTGATAAAGTTATTTTATCAAGTCTGTCCTTTTACAAAGTCTGCTCTTTAAAAGAGCGAGTGGCCCTTTAGAGCCGTTGTAGTGGTCTGGGTGAGTGCGCGGTTCACTTGGCCTTCTCGGTCTTCTTGGGCAGAAGCACGGCCTGAATATTGGGCAGCACTCCTCCCTGGGCAATGGTCACTCCTCCCAGCAGCTTGTTCAGCTCTTCGTCGTTACGCACGGCCAGCTGAAGGTGGCGGGGGATGATACGGGTCTTTTTGTTGTCACGGGCCGCGTTTCCCGCTAGCTCCAGGATCTCAGCAGTAAGATACTCGAGCACAGCCGCTAGGTATACCGGAGCTCCAGCCCCCACTCGCTCTGCATAGTTCCCCTTCCGCAGTAGCCTGTGCACACGGCCCACGGGGAACTGCAGCCCGGCTCTTGAAGAACGGGACTTGGCCTTAGCCCGAACCTTTCCGCCGGTCTTTCCTCTGCCGCTCATGGTTACAATATAATATCTACAGAATCAAAAACGAAGTGATAAGGTAAAGGCCGCACTATTTACGTGGAAGCTTCACTCGACGTTTTGATGCCGCACCAATCAACGCAGAGCCCAGCCCATTCACACACGCACACGCGTTCGCAGACGCACCAAATCTGTTTGTCCAATGAACAGCAGGGAATTACGCGCCAATCACACCTCAGAGAAGCGCTATATAGAGAAAGGTAACCAACCATAGCGCAGAGTAAAGGCACGTGACTCTGAGTTTGCGTAGGTTACAACACTTGAAATGTAGCGCTCTTTCTCTCAGTCAACATATAGTTTAAAAACTAACCTGATGTCTCGTAACACCGCACGTAAATCTGTGTTTGCCCCTTTTTTCCCATTCCTGTCTCCTCCACTGAACAGTAGTTTCTTCATAAATAAACACATTTTCCTCAACTTCATTAATATGCTTTTTTTTTTTTAAGTAAATGGTGGCAGATTAAGTAGCCTATATTATACCTAAAACTCAATGTTCAATATTAAAGAACAAACCCCATTGTAACGGAGCATTAAGAGCCTAAGTGCAGTTTGGTGCTGATGATGATTTAAGGCGGTGAAATGTTGTTACGTCATGGTATTTGGTCTTTGAAATGTACGAAAATACTTACAGAAAATGCGATTCTAACCATACGTTTATATTTAAACCTTACCATCGGTGCATGGCGTTGCGCATTGACGCTGGTGTAAAGTTTAGAACACGTTTCTAAAGATTAGATGAGAAGTGCTTCTCTTTAAGGAGGAGTGGGTGGCTCTGAAAAGAGCCGTTGTTGGATGTACAACAGATTAACCTCCGAAGCCATACAGAGTGCGACCCTGTCTCTTCAGGGCGTACACCACGTCCATGGCGGTCACGGTCTTCCTCTTGGCGTGCTCGGTGTAAGTAACGGCGTCACGGATCACGTTCTCAAGGAAAACCTTAAGGACTCCACGAGTTTCCTCGTAAATCAAACCGGAGATACGCTTCACACCGCCACGGCGCGCCAGTCTGCGGATGGCGGGTTTGGTGATGCCCTGGATGTTATCACGGAGAACTTTACGGTGACGCTTGGCGCCTCCTTTCCCCAGCCCTTTTCCTCCCTTTCCTCTGCCACTCATTTTGAATTGAAGAAAATCAACCTCTAAATATTCAGAAAGAAACAGGAGCGCAGGTGTTATGTACGCTCTGAGGACGTGATAGAGGACAGGGGAGGGTCCGGACACGTAACCGTTACGTATGTTGGCGCCAGAGACACAAAGAGAACAAAAGGACTAAGCACACAAGAGCCTGTCTTTTTGAGACTTTTATTAGTCTAAATGCATTTAACATATCTGATATCATAAACTCAGTGTGTAGTAGTATATAACTACAGTTTAGTCATTTCTACAAGATTGTGGTTATGCTTATTCTAACCTGATTAGTACAGTAACATACGCTCAACTTCTTGACTTCCTTCATGTTTTTACATTTAATTTAAAAAAAAAGTTTTCCTATAGATTCTCTTTTCTTATTTTTGTTAGTTTTTGATTTACTACCATGCAAATGTGTTCATGCGGTTTAGATATAATCATACAACAGTCATATATAGTTTGTCTCTAAAATAAGTGTACAGATATAACACTACAGGCGGTGTCTCTCATGTGTAGTGCTCGATGGAAAAGGCCCCGGAGTCACTGGATTTCATGAGGATGTCGGTGTTCCGGAGGGAAAGCTGTGAGCGGCACAGACCGTTACTGTGGGAGTCATGCACCGCATCATCTGATACCTGAGGGACACACAGAGGGAGGCACACACATTTTATTTACCAAAAGCGGTCACTGAAAACAATAAAGCATCAAAACTCTTGCTCTTCAATTACTGCAGTCATCCACATCCCAAAATATAGTACTCAGCCCTACCATCACAAACAGTGATACCGGTGTTTTGTGTTTTGTGTGAATAGTTTAGCAAATGTATTAAAAGTCTGAGAAACTGTACATGCACGAGAAGCCTTGAATGTTACACATAATTAATAATTTTACCTCCTCAAACTTCTTGGCTTTGTATTGCTCTGCTCCTTTCAGGAAGTTAAGTAGAATAATATCACACAGCACAGTACCCTGTGAACAAAATAGCCATTACATTATCATTGACAAAATATGATAAAGATTAAAATGTCAGCATAAATGCAACATACCACTCCCACTGAGGTGAAGGCAGCCACCATGTTGATTAGTGTGGGGATCATGTCAAACTTCCCTGCCTAAAAAAAAAAAAAAAAACAAGTAAACTATTGTCAGTCTGAAAGTTTATCTTTTAAAAAGGTTTCAGCAGGAAATTAAATAAAATATACAAGTAGTGGTGGATGAAGTGCTCAATTTTTTTTCTTAGTTAAAAGTACAGACATACATGTAAAAAATATATTTTTTTAATGTTATTACATGAAAAAAATAACATTTTCCATTTTACTTTTACTTAACTTGAAATTTTCTTGTGAATTTTGTGCATTTTTTTTGTTTGTTTGTTCGAAGCTGAAACTTGAACTCAAAAACTGTTACATGAAAACTACATTTTACTTTTCAGTCCAGTTCAAAAATGTTGTTGAGTTGAAAGAACAGATACATGCTCTCAAATGTAATGTAAAGTAAAAGAAAAAGCTATCAATTTTTAAATGAACTTAAGTAAAGTAGAGATTCCTAAAAAATCTACTATAGTACTTTCCTACTTTTACATTGCTGTCTTCCACTACTGTACACAAGAGAAAATGAAATAAAAAATACATTGGGAATAGAAAGGTAAAACCACTTTGGGACATCCCCCAATGCAGATGGGAACTACAGAACTACATTTCCAGACCAAATAAATGTTAGGTCTGTGGAAATGCAAGCCTACTCAGATTAATGTTGTTTTTGTTTGTTTGCTTGTTTTGTCTTTTAGTGCAATAATCTAAAAGCCATCAAAAGTACACAACTCAATCTAAAATATTCACAAAATAAACATATAAATTTGTTGTGTTTTGAGCTACGTTCATGTCATTAAAATAATAAATTTGATTAAGCTTTAGAGGGCAGAAGTGCTACTTGGATATTCAGAGATTGTGCAGAACTATCCTCCTAACCTATTTAGTGCTCTTCAGTGTAGGGACCAGTCTCAAATACAAAGCTGAAAAAACGGAGGCACTCAAAAACTACAAAATAATTAAAAGCCTTTAATACCACATGGTAGATTAAGTTAAAATCACGCCAACTTGTTTTAGCACTTTGGCCTTCATCAGGGCAAACTCAAACTGGCTGTTACAGTGCACATTTAAAGTAACAGGTGTAGGTCACGTGTTCACAGTGGTCTGGCCAGCAGTCCCCTGGTGCATGATGGGACATGTAGACTGAACAGATTTTAGTTACAAACTATTTAAGATAAGATAAAATACAAGATACAAGATATAAATAGTACAATTACCAACAACCAATACATAGAAAAATAAATAATATAACAATATATATAGTGAAAAAATAAAAAAGTGCTACAGATACGACATGAATAATTTGTAAACAGTTTCATGGACACAAAGATGTAAAAAATAGAATTGTACATTTAAAGCTTGTGGTTTTAAAGTAAGGGGGAGAAATCTAACTCTCCATTGAGTCCTGGAAACTGGGTAGCCTTGAGAGTGTAGATCCAGTAAGACTCTCTTTGTAGTAGTTTTTTCAATCAATCGCCTCCACTTATTGTTTCTTCAATATGTTGCACAATTTTTTAGGCTTTTACAGCTGCCACGGTTGGCTTCTGTGTAATGCATGGCCATAAGGTACGGGGGGTACAGGTCCTTATAGTCTGTTTGTGTTTAGCCAGTGTTTTTCAGTTTGCGTTTTGTTCGGCCTATGTAAAAATGACCACATGGGCATTCAAGCTGGTATACCACATAATTGGGGTTATAATTAAGGAATGTCCTGATATCAAAACTTTGACATGATATAATGTCCATGAAAGAGTTGGTCCCTTGTACTTGTTCACAATAGGTAGTTACCACACCTGTAACGGCCAGCCTTGAGTGTCCAGCCAAGTCTTTTGTGTCAGTGGAGGGAGATAACTGTTCACCAGTTTGTCACTGAACGTAGGGGCTTTTCAAAAGCTCCAGTTTTGTCTCATCTGTCCAAAAGACATTCACCCAGAAGCTTTGAGGCTTGTCAATATGCATCGTGACAAAGTCCAGTCTCACTTGTTTATGATTTGCTCTCAACAGTGGTGTCCTCTGTCCTTTAATCTACAGCTCATGTCTTAGGCACTCAAAAACAGAGGCTACATAGATAGCACTGTATCCTCAGCCTACAATCGAGCCAAAAGTCTCAATAGAGAAGAACTATTGACTCAGAAACCACAGGAAAACGTGAGTCCTAATCAAGTGTACTTTGTAAGTGAAATTGGCACTGAAGCAAACTGAATCAAACAAATAATCAAACAGAACTAGACAGTGAAAGTGACATCACCTTAAGAGACTCTCCCAGAGACCCCTACCATCAGCTTTAGAAAAGCCCCTACATTCAGTGACAAACTGGTGAACAGTTATCTCCCTCCACTGACACAAAAGACTTGGCTGGACACTCAAGGCTGGCCGTTACAGGTGTGGTAACTACCTATTGTGAACAAGTACAAGGGACCAACTCTTTCATGGACATTATATCATGTCAAAGTTTTGATATCAGGACATTCCTTAATTATAACCCCAATTATGTGGTATACCAGCTTGAATGCCCATGTGGTCATTTTTACATAGGCCGAACAAAACGCAAACTGAAAAACACTGGCTAAACACAAACAGACTATAAGGACCTGTAACCCCCGTACCTTATGGCCATGCATTACACAGAAGCCAACCGTGGCAGCTGTAAAAGCCTAAAAAATTGTGCAACATATTGAAGAAACAATAAGTGGAGGCGATTGATTGAAAAAACTACTACAAAGTGAGTCTTACTGGATCTACACTCTCAAGGCTACCCAGTTTCCAGGACTCAATGGAGAGTTAGATTTCTCCCCCTTACTTTAAAACCACAAGCTTTAAATGTACAATCCTATTTTTTACATCTTTGTGTCCATGAAACTGTTTACAAATTATTCATGTCGTATCTGTAGCACTTTTTATTTTTTCACTATATATATTGTTATACTATGTATTTTTCTATGTATTGGCTGTTGGTAATTGTACTATTTATATCTTTTATCTTCTATTATATATTGTATTATATCTTATCTTAAATAGCTTGTAACTAAAATCTGTTCAGCCTACATGTCCCATAATGCACCAGGGGACTGCTGGCCAGCCCACTGTGAACATGTAAATCTGCACTGTGATAGCCATCTCGAGTTTGCCCTGATGAAGGCCAAAGTGCTGAAACGCGTTGGCGTGATTTTAACATTATCTGCCATGTGGTATTAAAGGCTTTTAATTATTTTGTACTTTTTGAGTGTCTCAGTCTTTTCAGTTTTGTATTAAATTTGATTATCTGCAGATAGATTTATAATTATTAGGCCATACTCACATTTCCATTGACCAGCACATCAAACCGAATGGCGTAGGCTTTGATGAGAGTCCGATAGTCAGTGCCATTGTCTGTCTTATAGTACTTGGCAAACCTGCAAAATAAAAAGGTAAAAGTAGAAAATAATTTCAATGCTATATGGTAAAAGTATGGTGCACTTAAACTAGATTTGAACTTTCACATTGCCTGGCTATTTTACAATGATCTCTCCATACTTTTTATAGAGGGATCTCAGCCTGGTTGCCACGCCTCCTCCACGACTATCCAATCACATTTATTGATTTTACTGACACATGTGAAATGAACGTACTTTTTGGTGACCCATCATTTGGACCAAATCTAAATTTCTCACCTCAGATTAACAGTTTAGTGATTTGTTCATTGATTCTGCAGAAATGCACAATGGTTTTCAGTTCTCTGCATGCCGCTGATTGGCTAATCAACCTGTCAGTCACGTTGAAGAAATGCGTATTCTGTCAGCCAAGTTTATATTCTGCAGTTGTAGTACAAATAAGCCCTTACAAATGTATATTGTGTGTCTAAGAGCCAGGAGCTGCCCTGGGGCATACTGACACAAACATGGCTGTCTAGCTGCATTGCCCATCAAACCAAAATCACAATTCATGGTTGGTGGGAAGTAATTTTCCTTGTGAATTGATAGAGATTGTCTATAGGTGGTTGATGTCTTGCTTTTCAAACAGTAGAAAGTAGAATTTGAACTGCCAACTCATTACAGGTGAATAGCCTCTTACAAATGGATTTTTAACCATGTAAGAGATAAGTGAGATGGGGCAGGCTGTGACCATTATAGATTTAACATTTTTAATTTTAGATTTAGTTGATAATATATAGTGAGCTAATGAGCTTTTCTGAAAATTCCATATATTACATACAGAAATAGTGGTTATGTTAAATATGTTTACCTACACACCAAACATCTGATCATTATCTGAATTCTGGAGTTATCAGATTATTGAAACAGTGCCTTTTTTCACATGCACACCATAATGTGATTATTATCTGTTTTTTACTGACCACGATCAGCAAGAAATTAGATGATATTGTTGTTTACATGTCATTTTAATTTTTGAGTGCACATGTAACTGCAGCCACTGGCTTTGTGTACATCCAAAATATCAGATAAAATCAGATTATGAGAGTGCATGTAATCGCAGTTAGTTAATTTTAATGAGAATAATGATAATGATTTCTCTGATTGTTCACATCTGTGCAATGTGAAAAATTGAAAGAGTTTTTTAAAATTTCATTGTTTGTCTTCCGAATAACAGTTATTCTGACTGTCACATGTCACCAGGTGTATTTGAAAATCAGATTTCTCTCTTAAACACACACCAAAACCATTATTGGATTAACTCATCATTTTGTTATCAGGAAGTGTCAGCACTTCTTGTTATCTAAAAACAATTAAACAGTGGCTTAGTTTACATGCACAACAAAATCTGATTATTAACTTCTGTACCTTTAAGTCTATTTAAAGATCCTATTTTAAAGTAAATGGATTCTTGAGCTTTGGGGACTGTTATAATGTTGCTACCTCATCAAAAACATCCGGAGTTGTGTTTTGTTTCATGCACAGATGTTTGAGTGAACCTGGTTTATTAGTCTGCCCACATCTCCAAAGCTCAAAATGCTTTGTTCAGTAGTGATTGGCGTTTGGCGATTGGTGATTGGAGAAGAACTCTCTAATATGCAGAGTTTGTGTGTTTAAAATGGGATGGTTTTGCTGTTTCTTAACTCATAAAACATGAAATAATAATTGGATTTTGAGTGTGTGTGAGAAAATTTTAACCTGAAGTTGTATCCTGGCGAAACGACGGTCTTCTGTGACATGGCGTCCAGTCGAGTGAAGGAGTATTCGGGGTTACATTTGTTATCAGACTTGTCCAGGTCACACACCCAACCGATTTTTATCCCAATCACTCCACCCTGAAATACAATCAACCATATGTGTATGATTTTACTGCTTTGAGAGCTCTGGATCAAAGTACTTGTATTCACCTCACATTGTACAGCCAAAAAAGTGACACTCTTTAATTGAATGTATGTTTGTAAATACATTCATAGTCCTAAAACTGTTCCTATTATTTTTATCTATGTTATAATGTTGTTGACTCACAAAAAACCCGGAGTTGTGTTTTGTTTCATTCACACATTTAACACATAAACCCTGCATATTTAGGCTCAAACTGAAAACACTTTGTTCCACTTTGTGATTTAACCTTCTAAGAGCCTCTCATTTCTCAGCTTTGGCAGTCATATTTGATTACTGTGTTGGATATTGCAATAACACAACTTTTAAAATGTAAAACTGCAACTAGTTTGTGTATGAGCATCAGAGAGACACACAACATGACTCTGAGCGAAGAGAAAAGAGCCAGGGTTATGATCACATGAGCCAAATCATCACTAAATGTAAGAAATTATGTGGGGAAATAAGGTAAATAATGTAAAAAACAAAGTATCAATCTGAATATTTTTATTTCTATACATTGCTAACTTGAAAGCTCAAACATGTGTAAACTAAACACAACACAACTCCAGCTATGTTTTCTATGAGGGAACAACATTATAACATGACTTGAAGCTTCACTGAAGTCAACTTTGTGTAATATAGGACCTTTAAATTGCATACTCACCTGACTTGCGAGAGCGGAGAAGTTTTGTTGTGCGTACCGAATCACGTCCCCGACTCGAAAAATGGGGCAGTATGTGTTGTTCACCATGTCGTAATTACAAGTTTTGATGTAGTCTTGTGTAATGGTTGGAAGGAAGTTGCCTCTGCAGAAGATATTGAGCTGTAATTTAGTCTTACATTTTGATTATTTGTAAAATAAATAAATAAAAAATAAATAAAAACAATAATAATAATAATAATAAAAAAAATACAAACTTTGTGTAGTTGAATTTTGGGAAGCGAATGCTGTTCTTGATGAAAATAGTGAAGTTCTCCACCTCTGGCATTGGTATGCTGTGAATGAGAGAATACAAAACATTTATGCACATTTTAACATGAAAAAATATTTTGAAATATAGTAAAGAATGAAAATGGCTGTTAAAACAAAAATATAATTTCCTCTTTTCTTTAAGTTATAATTTTTAATGGTTATTGCCCAGAGACTCCAGACCCTAATAATAATTATAATAAAAAACTTACCCTGTAGTTTAGATCTATATACATATTCTGAAATGTGATTCTATTGACAGTTCCATCTTTGTCTATTCTCCTGGATGCATTTCAGTATGAGTCCTATTATTAAACATAAATCGATCACAATCCTGCACAAAATTGCAGTATGATATCTTTCCCAAATTGTTCAGCCATAGTGCGATAGTTGCAGGGGAAAGAACAAACATATAATAGGTAAGAATGACCAGTAGAGGGCAGTGCAATGTAAAAAGAGCAGACTGGCTTCTTGGAGAATAGGGGATAGGGAAAGTGTACTGTGTTGTCACTGAACGAGTCATTTTATCCCCACTGTCAGCTCTTGTCTATTTAAAGGTTCTATATTATGTTGAATTTACCTTTGTGAGCTTTAAGCCATGTTATAATGTTGTTACTTCCTCAAAAACCTACACTGAGTTGTGTTTTGTTTCATTCACACGTTTGAGTAACCCTTTATAATTAATCACATGTTTGACACATCCGTGAATGGGGGGATGGGAGCTGATTTTGTCCATTCCTAATGGACTTCGTGCACAATGGCCAGTTAATTCCGGTCTTTTCGCTCTAATGTAATGTCTAGGAGGTTTTTGCTGAGTCACAGTAAAACCAAGAAATCCTGACAGATGAGGCAGTGGACAGAGAGCTGTAGGTGGACGTCCCTGACCACATATTAAACTTTACAACTGAGGAGAAAACTTCACTTAGGACACTTCTTTTATAAAGGTACTTCTTGTGTGTTGACTTGGCAAAAACCAGCAGCTCACTGTCCAATGCCTGATTCCATATTAAAGCATAAAATGTATATATTCATGCAGAATGTTCCAAAGCATAATTTCAACTTTCCATTTCATACAGGTCTAGACAGTTACATACTATCCCTTTAAAGGTGCACTGTGTAACTTTTCTGGTGGAGGGTCCGTCAAATGCTTTTTTCTGTGAAAATGTTATTACTTTATCTGGAATGTTTGTATGGTATTAAACCTTTCTATCTTCATTGAGCCCAAACTAGACCAAGTTACAGGTCAGATCTGTAGAGAGGCAACTCTGGTCACAGACAGGGTGCCTCTTTTTCAATTTTTTATTTATTTTTTTGTTTGAGTTATAAAAATGACCTGGGATTGAATAAATGTAAGGTAAGGCTATATAATGTCATACTGTGGAACATTCCAGGTAGAGCAATTACATCTCCATCGAAACAAGCAGGTAATGGACCCCCAACCAAAAAGTTACATAGAATCACATTAAATACTCCCATAAAGATATAGTAAAAATAGTAAAATAGTATAGTAAAAGTGTTACGTTTTGATGGTGTCCACTTCGGCCGGACACCAGCCCTGGATCTCACATGTTTTATTGCCACCTTTCCACATGACACATTTTCCTGTCAGGATTCCTACAGAGAAATATATTGCTTAAAAAAAATAAATAAAATAAAATAAAAATCAAATATCACATTTTTAACACATCCTTACCATTGCCCCCAATTTTCCCAGCTTTGCAGTGACTATCTGTTTCGCAAATGTATTTTTTTTCACTCTACAAGAAGTGCATTCAGTACATTAGGCATTCTATAGGATCTTTGGTAAATACATTTCAATGGATCATTGGATCCTTGGCCTGGTGGTCTTACTTGCTTGCTTCTATGGAGATAGATAATAGGTTTAATGCTATATTGTGGAAAATACTAGGCCAAACAACATCTCCAAGGAAACAACTAAAAGGTGTATACCTCCACCAGAAAGTTACATAGTAGTGCAACCATAGACTGTATATACAGTCCATTAGTGCACCTTAATGTTCACCTGTATGGCACCTAATCATATCTATCTCTATGGAAACAAGCAATACATTTCCAGGGAGACCAGCAGGTGGTGGACTCTCCATGCAAAAACTTTGCACAAAATCACATATTAGTAATATTTTTTTCTAACCTCTGGGCAAAATCCTTGGAATTGGTTTTCTGTGGTTATCATTTTGGTGATGATGCAGAAGACTGAAGCTCCCTGTAGTAAAAATAACAGGTTGTTTTTATGTAGATTTTTTACATGTAACATTTATAAACAGCTAGACATTTTTATGTCAGTTAAGGTGCAGCTAGTATTTCCTTCATAGGCAACATAACGTGCACTATAGAGTCTAACTTTGCAAAAGAAAAATTGATATCTGTATATTTCAGTCTGCAAAACATAGAGTAAGTGTATATGACAGGTTACTTATCGCACTTAAACATAGATGACATCATTATATTTCTAATGAATTAAAAATGAATAAATATAATGTGCTAATTTTTAAATTTATATATAACAGATGTAACAGTAGCAGTGTTGAGCTCTGAGTGTAGCAGTACCTGTTTGTGTCCCTAGAGTGTAGCAGTACCTGTTTGTGTCCCTAGAGTGTAGCAGTACCTGTTTGTGCCCCTAGAGTGTAGCAGTACCTGTTTGTGTCCCTAGAGTGTAGCAGTACCTGTTTGTGCCCCTAGAGTGTAGCAGTACCTGTTTGTGTCCCTAGAGTGTAGCAGTACCTGTTTGTGCCCCTAGAGTGTAGCAGTACCTGTTTGTGTCCGTAGAGTGTAGCAGTACCTGTTTGTGCCCCTAGAGTGTAGCAGTACCTGTTTGTGCCCCTAGAGTGTAGCAGTACCTGTTTGTGTCCCTAGAGTGTAGCAGTACCTGTTTGTGCCCTAGAGTGTAGCAGTACCTGTTTGTGTCCCTAGAGTGTAGCAGTACCTGTTTGTGCCCCTAGAGTGTAGCAGTACCTGTTTGTGTCCGTAGAGTGTAGCAGTACCTGTGTGGGGGCTACGTAGTCGGCCACGTCCATCACTCTGCCATTGTAGATTCCAAAGCCTTTGACTTTGGTCATGACTGAGGACTCGATGGCCGTATCTCTGGACTGATAGGCCTTTTCATGAAGGAACACCCACCTGCAGATACATATACTGTACATTACCAGTCGAACATTTGACACACCCTCTCATTTTTCTCCTCATTTTTCCCTTCTCATTATTTTTCCCTTTATTGTTACTACTTTCCACATTTTTATATACATACAGAATACATCAAATAAATAATGCAAGATAGATGGCATTGTGTAGTAGAGTTGAATATCTCTACTAAATATTTTTTGCCAAAGTAAAGGGTAGCAACTATGAGGATTTAATATTTGTAATAATTTACTTTTTTCTTTGCTACATAATTCCATGTATCTTTCTTCATGTAATATATGATATATAATGTAATATGTAATGTATAAAAAGTAGAAGATAGTAAAAATAAAGAAAAATATAGCCGCAGGCGGCAATGATCTGCCCTCGCATGCGCCTCCACCATGCCCCATAAACGCCACACCCCTCAAACACCACCCCCTGCAAACACCACGTCCCGCAAACGCTGCGCCCCCGCAAATGCAGTGCACCACACTAACACTAATAATCAGAAACCCCAACTATGACTCTAACCCCTAGCCCCAACCCTAATGCTAGGCCTAACTCTAAACATAAACCTAAGCTTAAACCTAACCCTAGCCATAGCCCCAACCCTAACTCCTAACCTAGCACTACCATTTTTCAAAATTTTGGAATGTGTCAATAAAAAAAATTAATAAAATACAAGATGGCGGATAAGATGGCAGAGTGTCCATCCACGATTAAATTTGAGTGAAATCGGCCAAAGTTTGTGCAATTTGGTGATTTTACTATTAGAATAACATGGAGAGTTTATGTCTATGGCGACGTCGTAAAAAATATGGTGTGGGGGTGTCATTGACTTTTTGAATCAGATGCAGAATTCAAATTAACAAGTTAACAGCATCCACCCAGTGTGTGCTCTCCCTCCTCTCTCACTCTCACTTTACCCCTCTCTCTCCTTTTTTCTCTCCTCTCCTGTCTTCTCTCTCACTGCTCCTACCTCCCCCTTTTTCACATTCCGGCCACTAGGAGCATTGCTTTACAATACTAGTAGGCCCTTCTACAGCTTCTGGCGCTCGAACCTAAAAAAAACTTGAATGAGAGGGTGTCTAATTTTTGACAGGTAGTGTTGCTATAGGTAGATAAATAGGTAAGTTCAGTTCTGAATCCCTGCCCTTGCTCTCCTCGCTAAGTCACTCCCTCTTCAGAGCACTATCACATTACAAATGTAATATTTTTTACTACTGAAACTACAGCACATCGCATCAGGTTTGTGAAGTTGTAGTGTATTGTTTTGTATCATGCTTTTGTTCATGGAAAATTGCTGTGTGGGAGCATGGGTGATATAGGCTTGTGGGCTGAGTCAAGGGTGATTTAAGTTGAAATTGGACTATATACACTATATCTGTCTTATACAGTCAATCAGGTGGAATCAGAACTTTCAAGACACAACACAACTCAATCTGAGAACAACATAAAGAAATTATTTTATTAACTAACTTACAAAACATGCGAAATGTCTGTTTCAATGGATTGTGCTGGTGAAAAAGCTCACTTCTCCCAAAAATCATAAAGGATATTGTCAACCATCAAATTGAGATGATTTTAAATAAAGATAATGTACATTTAGCTTGGCTCGAAAACAAAACAAAACTTAAAAATTTAAATAAACAATAAGATGGAAATGGTCTAATGTAACAGTTTGTATTATAGGACATATTAATTACACATATAATAATGAGCTTTAGGGGCATTAAAGAACTTTATGTAGCCTGTATATAGGGTACTACAACAACTGAATGTGGTTTGTCAGTGCATTAACCTGAAGACAGAGAACATGTGAAAGTTCAGAACCTCCAGAGTTCCCTGACTGAGCTGGAGAAGCTGCACTAGCACCGAGCAGTGATTGGCTGCAGGTGCTGGGGTTTAGGTAGTGACCATTCAGATCAGAGAGGCATTTTAGTTTAAACCAGATAGGTCAAGTTTATGAAATTTAAAATCAGAACTTGCTTACAGTTACTTTAATAGAATTAATCTAAAAATGCTAACATCTGTATCACCTGCCAATTTAATTCTAATGTGATGACTAAGCCAGTACTGAAAAAGGATTAAACCAGGACTAAATCAGGACAGAAGCTGAATTGGAATTTATGTACTAGATGCATTATACTAACCCAGTATTAGCCAAAAATCCTTATTAATAAATATTTATAATTGTACTAAGTTTTTGGACACATGAGGAATCATACAAATAATATGAGATTTTTAAATTACTAAACATTTTAAAATAAGGACTTACCCGACAAAATAGGTGATAATTAGCAGTTGTACCACTCGGTTAATGATTCCAATGGTCCAGCTTTTGACCACCACAGATTTGGTGGTTTCGTACGTGAAAAAGTTCGTAATACATGACCACATTGCAGCCAGCATGGGGACAATTACAAATCTAATCTAGTCAACAAAATGTAATTATAATAATGTAAAATAAATAAAAAAATAAAATAGAATGCAAAAAAAAATTTTTTGAAAGTATTGGTTGTTGAAAATTGTTTGACAATTGTATCCAGTATTCAAATCCAAAAGTGATCTTCGGCCCAATGAAGCTTTATATTGAAGAATTCAAATCAACAAGTAAACAGTATCCACCCAGTGTGTGCTCTCTCTCCTCTCTCACTCTACCCTTCTCTCTCCTTTTTTTCTCCTCTCGTGTCTTCTCTCTCACTGCTCCAGTCTCTTTCCCTCTCTGTCTCTCTCTTCTCTCTCTCTTTCTATATAAATCATGATCCTTTTCTTTCTCTTTGTCCTCTTCTGTTTTCTCTCTCTTTCGACATCATCCCTCCTCTCTCCTTCCTCCTCTCTCTCCACGTGTCCCTCCTTCTCCTCCCCCCCTATCATATTATCTCTCCTACTCCTTTCGCTCTATCTTTCTTCTCCTCTGGTCTTCCTGATGGTTTAGCTCTGTCTCTCTCTGCCCTCTTTCCTTCATAGCTTCACAGAAACTTGAGACATGCTCTGTATTTTGTAAGTGAAGTGAAGATCTGGCTAAGTGTCTCTTTTCATAACAAGATTATTATAGTTTACACATCACAAATGTGTTCTTAATATAGCCTCATTATTTCTCTGAGATAAACATTTAATCTTCTGTCACCAGATCCTCTCCATAAACATGTGAAAGCTTTGCCCGGAATGGGACAATGAACTTAGTCCTCTTGCACTTATTCAATTACAGGCTAAAATACCCTAAAAGACATGAATTCTTAATGTAAGCAGGGTCTCCTTTCCACAGATCTGACATGTAACTTAGCCTGGATGAGTTACTCCATGGAGAACAGAACAAATTCAACAGTCAAAATTCAGAGTGTAAAATTTGTTGTGAAATAAGTTGATAGTTGATTAAGGAATTAAATATATGATGTTTTAATTAAATTAATTGTTTAATCATTGGATTTATATAGTGCCTTTCAAGAGACCCAAAGTGCTTTAGAGAGCATTACTCATTCACTCACTCCACTCTTAGTAGTGGTAAGATACTATTGTAGTCACAGTTGCCCTGGGGCAGAGTGACAGAAGCGAGGCAGCCAATCTGCACCATCTTCCCCTCTGACCACCACAAACACTCAGTTACATACCACTTTCATACTAGGCAATGTGGGTGAAGTGTCTTGCCTAAGTACACAATGACAGGGTTTTTTGTGGCCACTGTCGCTCCCCTGCAGCATCTGATTTTCCCAGTGGTGTCCCATCCAAGTACTAACCAAGCCCAGCCTTGCTTAGCTTCTGAGATCAGACAAGATCAGGCTAATCAGCTTAATTAAAGTCATTGGTTCCCTACAGCATTTCCTGGTTGCTATAAGTTGGATCAACTCACTTGGGATCAATTACTTATGGCTTGGAATCTTGGATCATTGCTGCAATTTTTTTCACATTATATTATAACATTGTGCCCTCACCAAAATCATGCCAACAAGAGGTTTAGATGTCATCCATGCATGTTTGAGTGATTTAGCAATGTCTCCCAGGCCCTATTCAAACCTTCCTTGTGGTTAGATTTGTTGAGTACTTCATCTTCAAGCCCAATTCTCTCCATAAATATACAAAAACATGATACAAAACAATTCACTGCAGCTTTACAGACCTGATGCGATGTGCAGTAGTTTGCTTAGTAGAACCCACACTGATTGTAATGTGATAGTGCTCTTTAAAAGAAGTGACTTTTGACTCAGATTGTCAAAAACAAAAGTAAAATGAAAACATGTAATAGTTTGTTTTTAGCAAATTTAGCATTTTAATAAATGGTTACACAGTGACCTAAATATGTTGTCTTAGCCATTATGCCCGTGTGTTTCTACTTACTTAGACTTAGACTTAGACTTAGACAAAATGTATTGATCCACAAGGGAAATTATTTGGACACAGTAGTTCACACATCACAATATATCATAATGACAAAGAAAAAAATATTAATGGTAATGGTGAAATAAGGCATAATTATATACATGTATATGTACAAGTAAAAATTAAATACTGTAATACAAATATATCTCAATTATATACAAGAGGTCATAAGGAAAACAGTGCAAAAATGATATATTGATTTACAGGACACAGGGTTATTTGTATGGTATAAATATACGGTCTTATTACTTGTCTCCATGGAGACAGATATGTTTAATGTCATACTGTGTAACATTCCAGGGAAAGCAATAACATCCCCATGGAGACACACCAGAAAAGTTACATAGTGCACCTTTATGAACCATCTTAATTATGAAATTAATTTTTGTTTATCCCAATGATGATGTCGTGGGGCCCCGGATAGGTGGAAGAAAATGGATGGATGTATTGCTGCTTCCTACTACTACACCGCAAAAAGCAATGTCTAGCTTTAAGTTAATGACTTAAATTGAAAACATTTCACTTTCACTTCCACAAGCAACATTAAATTTTGTTTCTTATTTTTAAGTGCAAAGAGTTGTTGTTTTTCTTATCTTAAGAAAGAAGGTCCACCGGTAGATAAATTTACTTGTCAAGAGAAATTAACTCAAATCCCAATAAAACTTTCTTAATTCAAGTAATCTTAACTTTGTTAGATTTTAGTTTTTTTCAGTGTATCCTTACTGTCTTATTGCTTGTTAGCTTAATTCCTTAACACAGTTTAGTACATCCAGACCGCAGCTTAATATTTAATAGAGGGAGTGCATTATTTGGCTGCTAGAGGTTTGAAAAGGGGGATGCTAGCGTTAGCCTCAGTATCTGAAAGCACCGCGCCACAAAAACCATTGGCGGAGGATCACGTTTCAGGATAACGAGATCACGGCTGCCTGTCCGTCTGAGCCAGGCCCCCATCAACAGTCACTTATCACCACAACATAATGGACTGCAGATATCAAGTATGATGAGAGAAGTGTAGGAAGAAAATACAGCAAAAATAAATAAAACTACTAATAATAATAATGTCATGATTACAGTCACTATTGCTAAATAATATCTAAATAAAACAAATCATGACTTATCACCACAACGTACTGGACTGCAGCTATCAAGTGTAAGGATAGAAATATAGGAAAAAAATAAAATAAATACAATAACATTAAAGAAAACAGACATAGGCTTACTGCAAATATACAGTTTTAAATAACAGCAACTTATCAGCAAAACTGACTAAGCTAACCTTAAGCTTATTCTTAACTGTATTCTTTATTTATCTATTGAGTGAACATGCACCATAGGTCAAATCCTCCAGCTAATATAGTCCTACCCAAAAGTTGAAGGATGGGTCAATGCAGAGAACAATTTCCTATGGGGACAAGAATGTGTATGTTACCCTTAAACAAGTGTTGATCACACATCTGTGGAGGTGACCTTGCTCACAGCACACTATGTTTCAATAAATGTAAGATAGATTATTTTAATGCCAAGAGGAATATAAGATTTGTTCAGAGTTAAAGGCACTTAAACAAGTGTAGAAATTGGATCGGAGAACAGGAAGTCATTTGGATGTCAGGTTAACGATGTCTGTTAAAAATACTTCAATATTAATGCCTCAGACTCACTCTGCTTACTTCATACATGTCAGTATGAGCAGCAGTAGGCTCCTTACCTTACTTACTGTCAAGTGTAAAGCAAAACAACTAATATGTTTTATGTTTTCTTCTTATTATTTTCTTCTTATTATTATTTATTTATTTATTTAAGTCTCTCATTCATCCCGTGAGGTTGTTTGTGAGGTTGTGTTATGGTAATCATCTCAACACCGTTTTCCAAACTGTAAGCATAACACAATAACCTGGTCATAGATTGTATTATTTAATTTGATTGTAAAGTGCTATTCTGAATAAGCCTAGCCTGAAACAGGTGTTGGCCAAGTTCTCGACCAGGTCTGTGGAGAGACATCCCTGCTCAAGCACGGTATTTCCAAGCAATAAAAAACACCTGTGTATCAATAAATGTAAAATAGATTAGTTTAATGCAATATTAAAGAGGAGTATAAGATTTGTTCAAAGTACATTTAAATAAAAAAAAAATCCATCCAAAGGAATGAGTGCAGAAAATCCCAGAGTTAAAGGCACTTAAACAAATGTAGAAATGAGATCAGAGAACAGGAAGTCATTTGGATGTCTCCAGTCGGGCTAACGATGTCTGTTAAGAATACTTCAATATTAATGCCCCTGGACCCCATGTGCAAGGTTACATCATACTACATGTTAATCTATGAGCAGCTGTAGCAAGAACATTTTACTGTCAAGTGAAAAGCAAAACAACCAGGCCAAATTTCTAATATGTTTGTTTGAAAAAAGCAGGAGGCAGCTGAAGTGTGATTTCAGGTCTGACAGTGTCCCAAAAAGTCCCTTTAGCCCCTGAGAAAACTCCCAGTGCTCTAGATGGCCAGTCCTACCCTGCATGCCTACAGGTTAATACAAACAAGCCAGCATAATATCACCAAGTATTATTAAGACGATCTAAAAAGCAGTTTTGAAATCTTGTCTTTGAAAGCTTGTGTTGTCATTTGAAATTCAGCAATTACATGTTAGGTCTGAGAATCAAACCTCATTGTGGGGCTGTAAACACCACTGTTCATCCAACCAGCTCCGTAGCACCACCGTCCCATTGTGGATACCACACAAGTGCCTGTTTACAAATCTCATTATGATGAAAATGATCTCTGGTGCAATTAATGGGCAAAGCCACAGCTGAGACATGATTCAACACAATTTGTATTGATTTTAATATTTACTCCACCAGGAAGCTCAAGAGAAGTGCTGTCATTGCCTTTTCCTGTCACCAATCTACATTTAGGTTAGCTCGTTTTACCACTGAAGTACATTTGAACAACATTAGCATTAGCAAGTTGATTCAACATAGAGTAATTGCCCCACAAATTTCTTGGACATTCCATCCATCCATCCATCCATTTTCGTCCGCTTATCCGGGGCCGGGTCGCGGGGGGAGCAGCCTAAGCAGGGACTCCCAGACTTCCTTCACCCCAG